ATCTGCGTTCGACTACACCGCCTAGGCTGCACTGTCGAGAGAACTCTTAGTTACCACATAGCTGGTTAATGTGCATGACTGTGCATCCTCCCAGCCTGTAACATGTAGTAGGCACGATACATTTTGCTGTGTGTTGTTGTATACAATAATGTCACACATCTTAAATGACATCAGGGAAATATTAAAAATAAAAGCTTTATTGCAGTTTGTGCATCCACATAACCACTGGTGTGCTTTCACACACCTGGAAAACTTTTATTTCTCTGATTGTGACTGTGAGAAGAACATTTAGTGTTTTGTCTTTTGACAAGACATCCACATCCCACTACCACACAAAATGTTGTAGGTGTACACTGTGGTTTTAGCTTAGCTGCAGAAGCAGAGGTGGGGCAGAGCATTTCAGAGAGCAGTGCCAGGTTGAGCTGAATGGTACAGCTGCTGCATATCTTCTAATCAGCCATTCCTTTTTACTTAGCAGGCTGAAATTTTGAGACACAGAGACCACAGAGCAGCCACAGCCGTACCAAGCTACACACCTGTCTAAGAAGGAAGTAACCTGAGTTGTCGCTTAGCGTATTGTGGCAGACTGAATATGAGCAGCACATGGCTTTTGTTTGTATACAACTGCATGTGGGCTTAGGCTGCTCTCAATTAAGATTATTTCTTCTGAAAGTCTTAAATCCCTGCAGCTCAAGAACTTTGGATACGGACCCAAGATCTCTGGGAGTATCCCCAAAGCATCAGAGTTTTCCACATTAATGCACATGGAACAACAGTGGTAGCCTAAGCCTTTCCACAAAGTCATAGTTTTGCTGCCATTTGGAGCACACCAGCTTTAAAGCAAGGAAGAACACACAGAACCTTCATAGTTGTTGTGATGGAGGACATGCAGAAGGGCAATGTGACAGTGGAGGATGGGTGAGATGGAGGCAGATGTACCACTATGTTGATTCCTAAATGGAGTGAATGAAAAAAAAAGCTGCTGTGTCATTGTTGTCGAGGTGCCCGAGAGTACCTGCGTAAAGTAACTACAATATGGCAACACACAGATGTTCTCTGTTCTTACAAAACCCAGATGGTTCTGAAATCCCCAAACTAATAAAGAAGTTTTACAGACATTAGGACTTGCTTAAAGTGAATATTTCACTTCCCAAATGTTGCAGTGTGGAAGAGAAACATCTCCAAACATTTATGTAATATAGCCAAAAAATAACTGAATGAAACAACTGTCCATACTTCCCAATCATTACATATTAACTATGCTTCTTTAATACATCCCAGCCTTCATTTATTAGAAGCCAAAATTGGCTTTTGTGTAGGTCTAAGTCCAACAATCAGAGTCATAGTGGATCATCTGGTTGAGGCACCTCGACCTTAACAGTATTTCTTCGTCTTATGTTATATATTCCTTAATACTTATGATACTCTGATGATGAGCAGGAATGTGAACCATGAGACCAGTTGAAAATCTACTGCTATTGTCTGTTGTCAACGTTTGTAAAAGGTGATTTGATTTACATCTACATTATTTACAAAATATTGAGTTAAACTAGGTTATAGGGCTGCACGATTAATCGTTAGAAAATCGCGATCTCGATTCATACTTATGTGCGATCTCATTTCCAAATGACAACGATTTAAAAAAAAAGAAAAAAGACGACGACGATTGTACCGCATTTTGATCCGGGACGTAATCTGCATGAAAACAAGCGCTCACTCTTCCTGCTCAACAAATGACAAGGGCGGAGCCTTATACCACGTGATGCAGAAGCTGTGCCTTGTGATGCTAAAATTAGCAGGGAAAAAACAACGAAGAGCACGTCAGGGATGACGAGAAAGTGACAGGAGAAAATCCGTCCCGGTCAACCACCCAAACATCAATAACGGGAACCTTATACAGCGCTTCCCTATACCCGTCAAACTCCCGCAGGCACAAAGAAATTACGGAGGCTATTACTTATCACCTGACCAAAGATATGGTTCCCATCAACACTGTGCAAAACGAGGGATTTAGGAAAATGATCAACACCCTAGACAAACGCTACACAGTGCCGTCCCGCAACTATTTTTCTATTGTTGCACTACCTGCTCTATACACGCAGTGTCGAGCAACGGTGGAGACGGAATTTCAAGCATTTTGCGGCAACCACAAAACGTGAGACATTTGTTGTTTTTATGTTTATTTATTGTTTTTATGTTCAGTCTCAACTGTTACGAAGTTGATGTGCAGTTAATAAGTGCAATAAATATTTATATTGGAAAAGAAAATTGTGAGAGAATCGTGATCTCAATTCTAAGCCAAAAAATCGTGATTCTCATTTTATGCAAAATCGTGCAGCCCTACTACGTTATGTTTTAAAAAATGTAATTTTTAAAAAAACAAACATTGTGTCTTTGTTAGTAAAGCACAGAATTGAGATTTTTGTTTGTTTTTGTTGCATTCTTCATTGTCAGATTGCGCATGGCAATCTGCTTTTTGCTTTTAAATGGTATATCTCAGTCATTTTAAAGAAGGTATTGACATACTTGTACCGTATTTTTTCTCATGAACACATTTGCATCATGATTTAAAAGCTAAACACAACTTCACTGTCTAAAACTGAAACCAGTGATTTCATTCTACAAGATGCGCTTTCATCAGTCCAGACTATACATACAGGAAACACTACTCACTGTCTCTTTTGTCTGTGTGTGTAAATAGAGAGAGAGCATTAGAAGCACAAGCAGTTTATGCTGCCACTGCTGCAGAGATGATGCGACTGTGTTGGGCCCTAGTACTGATTTTTTCTTATTCCACTTCAGGTATGTTCATTTACTTTCCTATTCTGAGGTTTTCATTTTGTTTATGTCTGCATGAAATAACACTAGTTGAGAGAGGACTTTATCCCATTTCTTAATTTGTTTCTGGTTTAAATTAATGTCACATTACATTTTGATATGTGTCTATGAGTGCTTCCAGAACAACTGGTATTCAGCCACTGTTAATGCAGGTGACTTTGACGTGTCTTTAATCAGAGACTTTGTCTCTTTTATAACAGAAGGCACTATAATCATCACAGAGCCTGGTGAGAGCATCACTTTGAAGTGTTCCCCAGAAGAATGCCCCCAAAACAGTGGTCGATATGTTGGGATGTATCTGTATCATAGGTTTACTGAACAGAATGAGGTGTATTTCTATAGCAACCATGTTAACAGCAAAGTCACTGTGCGATCGAGATACAAAGGCAGGATTGAGTCAAACGGAGCTCCCATGAACCACAGCATCACCATGACCAATCTGACTGTGGATGATTCTGGTGTCTACACTTGTGTCTACAAAGAATCAGTAGACAAAAGTGCTGAGTGCAAAGTCTACACAGTTTTTGTAAGAGGTGAGTGTTTTCTTCTATCTAACTCCAAAATCTTGTCCAGTAACTAAAAGACTTTAGAAAGGCTAATCACAGTGTACTGCAAATGTACAGTACACAGTTACAAATTCAGGAGGTGATTTTTACATTAAGAAATAGCAACAGTATAGAAAGTTGGTTTATATTTACCTACACAGTGGTGACGTTACACATGGATGTGGTTATTTGGGCTCCAGGAAAGTCAGCTTTTTATAACTCTAAACTCCAATATGTAGTATTTTTATGAAGCATTTAGGCAGGATAGCACTCTATAAACACCACTGTTGCTGAAAAATTTATTTAAGAAAGTTATTGTACCAGCAAAATCTGTTTCAGTTTAATACTTTTGCACTTCTGAATCTGTAAAATATAACCTCTTTTTTTTTTAAAGTTCACTGTGTAAAATGTTACTAAAAACAGCACACAGTGATTTGCAAATCTCATAAACCCACATTTTATTCATAACAGAATATTTAAACTGAAAATATATACAATTTAAAGAAAAAAATTAGGTCAACACATCTACAAAACATTAGGACAGGGTCACATTTAGTACTGTGCAGCATACCTACTTTTTTTTTTAACAACAGATCAGTTGCTGGACTTTTAGGAGAGTGATGTTGTCCCATTTTTGTCCGATAGCACTCTAGCTGCTCAACAGTCCAGGGTCTTCCTTGCCATATTTTTCTTTTTATGATGCACCAAATGTTTTCAGTTGGTGAAAGTTTGGAATACAGGCTGAAGAGCTCGGCACCGTGTTGTCCAGATTGGAACCTACTGCTCTAAAACCTGTATATACCTTTCAAAATCGATGGTGCCAAATGTACAAGCTTTCAGTTCCACAGGCACTAATGCATCCTCACTAATGGTCCCTCTCTTCTTTAGTCTGAAGTTTTCCAAGAAGTATTTAAAATTTCGGTTATTTTGTCCACAGAACAGTTTTCGACTTTGTTCATTTTAAACTAACTTTGGCCCAGAGAAGATGGCACTGTTTCTAGATCACATGCACATATGGCTTCTTTGCATGATAAAGCTTTAACCTCCTTTTGAGGATGGCATGGTCAACTAACACAGGCAGTGATTTGTGGCTGTGTTCCTGAAACCATGCAATGATTTCCAAGGTAAAATCATACCTGTTTTTACTGAACTACCACCTGAGGGCCCAAAGATCACTGGCATCCAATACTAATTCTCTGAATCTCTTGATATTATGTAGTACAGATGACGAGATATTCAGTCTTCATGGTTTTACATTGAGGAACATTATAATTTTTACCAATTAATGGCCCTCTGCCCATCTTTACTTCTTAGAAACTCTGCCTCGCTACGATGCTCTTTTTGTACTTGGTTATAACGCTGACTTCCTGCCAATTAACCTAATTAACAAGAGGTGAAGTGTTCCTTCAGGGCTTTGTTTTTGCTACTACTTTATTTTACAGTCTTTTTTGCCCTCCACCATCATTTTGAGACAAACTGCTGCCATCAAATGAAAAATGACTTAATATTTTTCATGAAAAAGTAAAATTTCACAATTTAAATATTTGACATGTTTTCTGTGTTTATGAGATTTGCAGATCATTACATTCAGTTTTAATTTGCAGAACTTCTTTGGTCGTATACAAACACGGGGCTTCTGTTTAATGTGTCTTCTATATGTTTCATTACTCCAGTTTGTAAATGATGTGACCTAATCCACTGTTCTTGTCAAGGTGAGATATACAAAAAAATACCAATTTTCTGTTGTCCTTCCTAACTATGAAGGGTTTTGTATCAAAAAATTGTTGCTGTTAAAGTACAATTAAAGCTATTCTAAATTTGTATTTGATTTTTTTTTCCATACAGAAATAACAAACAAACCTTACAGAAAGCTCCAGACGACCGCAGAGAAGAGACGTCTACCTGGTGGTAATCGTGAGCATAATACTACCGAGCATCCCAAAGGTCAGTTTGATTCTCTCAACTAACAGCCTGTCTGTTAACTGCCAGTGCTGTTATCAGCCAAGTGAGGTGCACTGCATACAGATGCTTCCATTGCCACAAATTAGCTTGCACACTTTATGAAGCTATGAAAGAAAGAAGTAGCAATAACAAAGAAAACTATTTTATGTTAAGTTTTACAATTGTGACATCTCTTATGGTTGTGGTCTTCAGTAGGGCTGAACTCAACTTACAGTAGATATAAAACTCAATAGACCATAATTCACAATTATCGATGTGCCATTTGGGCTTGGTGACACCCTCAACAGTAATGCTGAATAAAAGTAATATAAAAGGCTATTGGTTTTTTTTTTAAACAGTAACAACACAGATTCTAATTACTTTTAATTACTTTTCCTCTTCCTATATGATATACAAAGAGAAGAGCAATCTTCCTTTTATTTTTAGATTAGCTCTTCTTGAGTTTTTTTTTTTTTTTTTTTTTTGGAGAATTCTGTATTACATTGCAAATTTAATGTTAGAACAGTGTAATTAAAGAAGTGCACCAGGATGGTAAACTTCTTGTGCAGCTGAATGAAGACATCACTTGTGTTTCCCTGTATTTCACACAGAATCATGTCCCAGACAAAAAGCACTCTTGCCCACTGCAGAGGAGAGACATCTACCTCTGGTGTTAATCATAAGTATTTCCACCATCATCCTGCTGTTCATCATAATCTTAATCCTACTGATGATCCAGAAGGTGAGTTCAGTTCTTTCTACTTAAAGCTTTCTATGTAAGGTGCTGTTATGTAATCCAGCCCTGCAGCTATGGTGTGCAGCAGTGGTTATCTTGCATCTGCAGACATGTAAATGTACACATTTATTAGCCTCACCGCAACCAAGTATGACTGCTGTAAACGCTCTTGCGCTGACTTGCTGATTATATCAGAAACCACTGAATTATCTGTTTGGATCTTGAAGTGCAGCTGTGAAAGGGCTGCAGCTTCTTGGAAAGTGCATCACACTGTTCACGTCTTTCGCTCTGTTAGCTCAAGATGAAAATTTTTTTTTTTTGTTACAAAACCCAATGTTAATGATATGCTAACACACCTGTCCTCTGTAAACTCCACTTCTTAAGAACTCCACTTGGCTTTGCACCCACTGTGAGCACTGTTTTATTGTTTTACCATGTGTCAAATCATTTGTCAAACTGATTTGACACATGAAAAAAGAAAACTTTCTAGAAGTTAACTGGATGTACTTTTTTGAAATCTGCTTAAATCATCATACTATTTATACAGAAAACTGATACAGTGGTATGTTACTATTGACAGGCGAGAAAAATGAAAAGCCACGAAAGAAAAGCAAGACCTTCCCTGCAAGGATCCAATGATTATGTGTATGAAGTTATGATGAAGACCAACGGGTGCCCAGCAGCAGCTCCAGAGCAGCCAGCACAAAACTCCTATGAGCTTGTTTAGATATGTAGTCGAATATTATTCACTTTTGAAGCTGTTGATGGGGTGTTTTTTCTTCTTCTTTTGTTTCACTGTTTTTGGTTGATTTTTGTTTTTGAAGTGATTTAAATCACAATGATGCACTCAAAGTGACCATTCATAGTGTTGCATTGCCTCTGTTCCCTGATTATTCGAGAATTGAGCGGGCCTTTGAAAAAAGCATAAATACATATTGTGATATCATAGGGATAGGGTTTGGGTTGTTGCTTGTGAGGACCTAGACCTCAGACACCATAATAAACATCAGCAGCCTGATTATTCATCTGTTACTTTAGCACAAATGAACACAAGTGGTGAGTGTTTCTTGTTTCTTGTATTATAACTTGGAGAGTGCATGCGAGGACATTGTGGCCAAAAACCACCGAAGATGGGTGGGAGGGTGGGGAGGGGGATGAGTGGTTTATATTTCTACATGCAGATATCTCACATGGTTTATTAATGCTGATTTGATAACAGTCGCATATAAATAACGGACGTAATTAGAGTTCTGAAAGTGGAGATGAGACTGGATGATAACTGCTTAGACTGTTTATTAGAGTGGAAATAACACGTTTTGAAACAGTTGTAGTTTTGTTTGTTTGTTTGTTTCTTGGCTTGTATGCTTTATTATTGTTAATTCCAAACCTTCTCCATAATTTGTGCTCTGGAATATAACAACAGTAATCTGAGGAATATAATAAAAAAACATTCAATGAAAAATATTCAATGAAACACACTCACACACACACACACATACAAACAGTATAACTGGTTTAAGTAAATGCTGCAAGATCTTTATTGTTCAAAGGGGAGAGTGTACAGTATGTTCTGAATTAAACTCATTTGTCATTGCTGTCAATAAAAACTTGCATTATGTGGTGTTTGCATGTGCCATTCAAAACAACGGTCAGTGTACAAAGAGATGAAGAAAATAATGCAGGCAGGTTGGAGTGTGTGAAGACCAGTGTGAAGGGTGATTTGTGACAGAGGGATAGCAACAGGAGTAAATGTGAGACCTGCTATGGTTTGGTTTTACCAACACAAATTTGGCAAACAGTGTAATTTGTGAATATACATTTTAATGGCAGTCCCAGGGTGAAAAAAGAATATGACCAATAAAGGCCACGATCTATTTGAACTCTTAGATTATTCATTCATTCATCAGTTAGTTTTGTTTTATTTATTTAGTCAGAGTAAAAGCCAGTGACATGGCTACTGATAGTCTCACTTTTAACCACAAGAGAGCAGCACTTGACAGTTTTTCTATTGTAAAACTCTTCCGGTAGGATCAGCAGGACCAGCACCACAAATACAGGAAGCCTGGATCAGCTCTGTGGTTAAAAGGTTGCAATCTCTGATCCTATGGGTCTTACCCAGAAGGAAATGCACAATTCAGATGGAGCTGATGTGGGTGGGGGGACTCGCCCAGCTCTAACTACGTTGAAGTCGGCATGTCCTCCCTGCTTCCCCTGATAAGATAAGCAAAACCTGAGTAGCCTTGCAGGTCAAATCCTACCAGTCCCACCTGTTATGACAGCTCCCCTCTAGATTGGTGCACTTAGGGTCAATTTTAGGGGCCTGGACAGTATTTAAAGGGCTAGAGTAACCTGTAAAAGCTATTTGCACTAATAAGGATAAATACTCAGATTTTTACCTGCACAGCTTAACAAAAGTTTAAAAAGTGAATGTCCACCATTTGGACCTATTACAGGATATTTTATTAAAGCAGTTTGGCAGGGGAAAAAAACCTAAATCAAATGCAAATAAATCTAAATAATAATCAGTTAAATCACTTGAACTATGCTGATCCAATCAACCTACTCTGAGCTAATGCTGATTTTGTTTTGATCATTTGAAGGAGAAAGGCACATCCAGGCCTAGAGATCCACTTATTTCTGTGTTAACTGGGAATCCAAATGTTCTTGATTCTATAATCCAACATGACAAAAAATGAGTAGAGAAAAAGCCAAAAAAAACCATACAAAACCAATTTGCAGGTTCACCGGTTGGGTTGCAGTTGATCCCTCTGGCATCTCTGCTGGAATTTACGACTGTGGACACCTTAGGTCGAATCTGCAGAACTGCTCATGTTTTAGAATACAAAAGGGAAGAACTTGTCTTTTGATGAAATGAAAAAGTTTCACTTTTCATAGGATGTTGATGCTCCTTATAACTGAGTTAGCTGATAACTTATGACACACTCATGTTAATATGGTATCTTCAGGTTCCAAAAAACATCTGTCTTGGCAGCAGCCAGAATACTGATGGTCAAGCTTCAAAATGCAAAGGCCATAAACAATGTGTGACATCACAATCACAGTAACCACCTCCATCATTTCCAACATCAGCCCTTCTAATTTATCAAAACTGGGAATATGCTCAAAAGATAAGCACATAAAGGCATTTTAACTTTAACCTATTGGGGGCACCACAGAGCTCAAAGTTCAGATAGAAATTCTGCCAGGGCCTCCAGTTTGTGAACAAAATGTAAAAACTTTATACAGTTATTTTTTATTATCAGTTTTAACTGTGTTTTTTATGCTATTTCTAAGTAAAAGATCTGATGATGAACATTTGTTTGTACAATGTCAATATTAAATAGAAAGGAATAGATCTAAAAGCTTTGTTCAGAAGGGAGTATCTTCTCTTCTGCTACAATTTTCCAGCCTTCTCACTCAGTGATTCCTGGGTGCCGATGAGCCCATCATGAAGAAGCAGTCCTGAGTCTTCCTCTTGGAGGCAGCCGCGGCCTGTAGTGTTTCTTCGTCAAAGTACACAAATGATTTATTTTACAGCTTCTGGTTGGGATAAACCCAGATGCACTTGTTGACCGTGACAGGGTCCTTGACTTACTTAATGTACCCCAGGACATTTGTTTTGTCATCTTTCAGGTCATGTTGTTCAAAATATAAAAACTTAGTGTCTCAAAGCAGTCCTGCAGCTAATGAAAGGCCCGTTTAGGCCATATTTTTATCTTTGATGTGGTAAGAGCACTTTTCCGTAGGAACTGCATGCTGGAATTAAGTGTAGGAACACGGCTGTGGTAATCTTACATATTATTGTGTGTTATAAAGTACAACCAAATACAATGAACATATTTTACTTTAAAACTATTGTTGGTCCGCTTTTCTTTTTAACATGTGACATATTTGAGTCTTCTCAGTTATTTACACTTTTGCACTGCCTTTTTTACGTCTTTACATTTCATTTTATAATCCAATCCAAATCAGTAAAAGCTTGTTACAACACATGGAATGATAGGTCACAAGGAGCACATATCACCAATCCATATCAAACCATACAGGAAACACTGCTTACCGTCTCTCCTATCTGTGTGTACATACAGTGTTTGAAAAACTGTGATAAAAGTCCACGTATGCTGTCATTTCTGCAGAGATGATGCTGCTGTTTTGGACCATAGAGATGTTTTTTCTGTATTCCAGCTCAGGTATGTCCATTTAATTAAAAAATATATATATATTTTAATATGTTAATATTGTTTAAATTTGCGTGCATCGAGATCAACTGAGAGCAGATCATTTTCTTAGTTTCATTATCTGTCTGTATACAGATACTGTGGATATGTGGCTCTCTGAGTGCTTCCAAAATAAATAAAAATGTTGTCACTGTTAATGCAAATGTATGTGTCTTATATCACACACACTCTTCTTTTAACAGACGGCACTATAATTGTCAAAGAGCCTGGTGAGAGCATCACTTTGAAGTGTTCAACAGAATGAAGTCCCCTGAGCAATGATGGATATGCTGGGATGTATCTGTATCATAATTTTACTGAACAGAATGAGATGTACTTCAATAACAAAATTGTGGAGCGACCAAGACTCAAAGTCAGAATTTGGGTAAATGAAGCTTTCATGAATTACGAGATCACCATCATTAATCTGACCGTGGATGATTCTGGTGTTTACACTTGTGTCTACAAAGAATTGCTTGACAGGAGCGTTGAACGTCTACAGAGTTTTTGAGAGAGGTGTGTGTTTTGTTCTTCTATTTGTTAAAAACTCCACAATCTTGTTGAGTAATTCACAATGCTTCAGAGTTGTCTAATTGCAGTGTACTGTATGCATGCATACAGTCCCATTTCCATCTTCAGGACATGATGCTTATCTTTTTCCTCAGCTAAGAAAGTGAAAAGTGCAGAAATGTCTAAGAATAGGAAGGAAACTTGCTTTACGCTTACCTACACAGTGATGATATTACACCCGAATGTGGTCATTTGATCTACAAGAAAGTCATCTTCTCATAACCCTAAACCTAAATGTCACAACATAGCCAATAATTATCCCCCTTGGAGTGGGTTAAGGTCTATAAACCCCATTGCTGATTAAAAAGCATATAAAAAGTTACTGTATTAACACAAGTTTGGCACACCTACCCCTGTAGGTGTAGGACTTTTCATGTTAACATAATCTTTTATTATTTTATTACTTTTTACAGTTTGTAAAATGATCTAAAAAGAGAATTTCACAGGTGGCATAGATAGAGGTGGATGATATACACCCTTCTAGCTATCTGTATGACACATACAACGACAATAGAAACCAAACAGCTTTTGGCTCTCGGAGGCGGACGCACTTTTTCTCCTCTCCTCTCCCTTATCTTCCTCGCCTCTGTCAGTGCGCCCCAGGGTGGCTGTGGCTACAATGTAGCTTGCCATCACCAGTGTGTGAATGTGTGTGTGAATGGGTGGATGACT